TCTTTTCGCTTAAGATTTAACACGATAATCCTTAAAATGAAGTAACAATCTTTATAGAAGATAAATATTAGTGACTCTCCAACATCTAGGCAAAGTGCCAAGAATTATTTCCTTCGGAATGTTATTTTTATTTTATTTTATAATATCACATTTTTTAAAATGTATTATTCTTTTTTTATTATAAAATATTTTATCATCAAATAGTAAATAAAAATTAAAGAGAGAATAATGTAGACAATTATCGATGATAACACGCTAACGTATGTATGCTAATGAATGTCATGTAAAATAAAATGCAATTTAAAAATTAGATTCTTAAGTATAATGAGACAACCCTGACTCTCCAACATCTAGGCAGAGCTTAGGTGCGACTGTTTATATTTAAGATTCAAATTTACTATTATACTTTTTATTTATTAATGTTATTATTAATGTGAATTAAGAACTCGTATGAAAAACTTAATGAAATAAAGTTTCTTAAATACTCCATCATCTATGCAGTATTCGAGAACGAATCATTTCAAATAAGATTCTCATACATGTTCTTAGGATTTTCAGAATGTTTTGAGTAAGAGCTTGCGTAGAGGTTTTAAAGGTTAGGGTTTCAAGATTTTGAATATTCAAATTTTAAAGTTTTGGTTTGAGGGATTTTGGATTTTAGTGGTTTTAGTTTTTGGGTTCAAAATTTTTGGATTTCAATTTTATGGTTCAAAGGGTTTAGGATTTGGATTTTAGGGTTTTAAGAAAACGCGAACATTTTCAAAAATCTTTAACATCTAGGCGGACTTTCAGAACAAGTTTGATTTTTATGATTTTTTAAAATTAATTAAAAAAAATGTTCATATATATTTTTTTATGAAAATTTATTTATAATAATTTTCCAACATCTAGGCGAAATTATTTTTAGAAATATGTTTTTATTCCCTCCAACATCTAGGTAGAAAAAATAAAAAATTATTCTACTATTATTATTATTTAAGCATTTTTAATATTTGCTTAGTTATTATCTTATTTTATTTTCATTTTTATTATTATTAAATTTAACATACACGAATAAAAAAAATACTCAAAATAACAAAAATGATAATATATAAAAAAATTAGGAAATTTAAAAAAAAAAAATTTACTTGAACCGGATTGATCAACGATCCGGTCAACGATCGATTCGACTCGACCAAAAAGGGGTTAGTTCGGCTTGCGGTTCAGTCGAACGACTGAGGAGTGGTTCAGTCCGATTTGATCGAACCCACTCAGAGTTGTTGGAGGAACTAAGTCAGCGGGTCGTTGAGCGGATCCTTGGTCGGGTCACGGCACGAGTGCGAATCCTCCCTGGTCCAGACGACGTCGTTTTGGTTCTTTGTTCCCTATAAAATACCTCCATTTTTTTCAGCTCATTCTTTTCCCCTTTCAGAAAAAAATTTTTTTTCAACTCTCCCAATTCTCTCTGGCTTTGCTAGAAATCGACGTCGTGTCGACGGTCGACCTCGGTGACCATAAAGAAGTAAAAAAAATCACCAAAAACTCCTCTCGATGCCCCCTATCCAAATCTGACCTTCTTATTACCGGAAGAAACTTTGATAGTTGCGAATCGATTTTTGAAGTTTCTCTCTTTTTTTTTTAAAGACTTAAACTTATGATTTTTTTTTGTTGCAGACACCTTTTTGGATGCTGGGTTCCTCCCTACGGGGAAGGCTGTTTGTCTTTATTTTTTTATTTCTATTTGGGTGTTTGGATTTTTTTGTCTAGTTTTCTGATGGGTAGAAAGTTTTGTGGGAGGTTGGGTTTTTTTTAGTGTGGAAAGCTAGGACTTTTTAGGGTGAGGGAGAATTAAAGTTTTCTGATGGGTGGGAACGAGATCTGTGTCGAGCAAACCCTTAAAAGGGAAAGAAAATGGGACTTTAAGGATCGAGTGGAGTAGGGTGGCTATAGGGATGGCTAAGGTAGGCTGTAGGGTGGCTATAGGGTAGGAGCGTGGACGGCCAGTGGTAGCTGCAGGGTATGGTGAGGGGACAGGGGTGGGTGGCCAGTGGTGTCGTGCAAGGCACCACTGCCATCCCAGTTCTCTTTTTTTTATTTTTTTGTATTTTATATTTTATATTATTTTTTTAATAATTTTTAATTAATTAATTTTTAATTTTAATTAAACCAATATTATTATTATTAATAAATAAGAAATGAAAATAGTAGACTCGGACAAAACCAATGTCTACAATCACTACTCAACTCTACTTTAATTTTCTCTCTAATTTTTACTTTGCATGATTTTTTAGTCAATGTTGCTTAAAGATTATTCTTTTTTTATATTTATATTTTATATTTCTTTAATTATGATGTTAGCTTTCTTTTTTTAATATTTTTTTGTTGATAATTAAGTATATATAAGAAAAGTCTTTCAACAGTAGAGTTACTAACATGAAAGTTAATATCACTTTTAGTTAGTACTATATGTCATGTCGATGTAACAAAAAACTATTTAAAATTGACAACAAATTTCAATGTTATTTTTGCAATGTTGATGTCCCCGATCCAACTTCAAGGTAATTGGTATTTATATTTTTTATATTTGATACATAAAAAATTATTATTCTATGATAATAATAAAAGTATTTTAAATTATTATATTATATTTATAATTGTAGAATTTTACATTTTTTATATATACAAGTTGAATATTGAGGCATATAATAATTCTAGAAGGATGATGTTCGTACTAGTCAATACAAAAGCTAAATATTTAATTAATTGAGTTAAAAATTAATTTAATATTATTTAATATTCAAATTAATTGAATGATATATTTATACTTATGATTTAGGAAAATGTATATTTAAAATTCAAGAGATATTTGAAAATCTCAAAGTTAAAATTTATGTGTTTGAAACGTAGACAAACAAGTATAATCTTGAGACAAATAGTATCAAACTTACAGTGAATAAGATGTATGATTTTGATCCTAAGCTTGACTGTCAAAAATTATTGGAATAGGTATGTATAAACTTATTATAATGACTATATTTATTAAAAAATTATATAGTCTAGATTATAACTCAACATTATCAAATTACAGATAACTGTTTATCTATCTCTCCACCTCTATCTGTGAAATTTATTGACTCATCAAGTAAAATGGCACTTGCTTTAAGATAGCAAGAAATATTGGAGAATCAATTGTTGCATCTTCACTTCAATAACAACTTATGAAAAAATCTCCCATGAAAAAAGTTTATATACAAAATTGATTGTAAGGATGAAAATTTTAATTTCTTGATATTAAAAACATTATTATCTTTTGTCTAGAAATTATTTATATTCAATAAACTATAGTTTGAGTTTTTTTTAAAACTGATGATAATTGCATAAGTATATTCAACATGCAATTAATTTATTTTATTATATTAAAATATATAAATTTAAATAAAAATGATTATCTAAGTTATGAGTTATTCATAAATTTCATAACTTATATTATCATTTTAAAAAATTTATATTTATATAAGATTTATTGATATATAAATATATTTCCATGCATTGCATGGATTTAAAACTAGTTATTACTAACAATTTACTTGTCATTTGACTATGTGGACCATTGAATTTTTTTAACAAGTATATATGCTTTTTTTTCATAAATATACGCATTTTCAATTTATAAATTTCATATATGGGTAATAAATCATATAATTCTACTTTATTAATAAAAAATTTAAAAAAATTGTGTATTTATTTTAATTATTTATAAAAATTTATATTTATATTTATATTTTATTAATGAAATGGTATTATATAATTAACCAATAGTATATAAAATTTTTATAATATGTCAAATATAAACTTATATATATGAAAAATTATCTAATCCACTATTAGAAGTTTTAAAAATCTACAAGTAAGGTTAGTAGGATAACATATATCTTGTAGAGTATATTAAAAATCTAAAAAAATTAATTAAAAATGAAACATAAGATAATCTCTTAACTTGCTTATAAAAATTAAAAATTACACTATTAGTTAAGAATGTTAATAGGTAAAGTAGCTACTATTTTTAAGTACTGATATATGAACTTAATTATTTATGAAGATATTCGAATCCAATAATTATTGGAATACTTTTGTTTGTTTTTACTCGAACTCTATCTATATAATACAGGGATTACTCATTAATTACTCGAATCCACTAAATACCAATTTATTAAGTCAACATTTGACTTTTAAAATTAAATTTAGATTTAATTTTAATACATATTATTAAAATAAATTAATTAATAAATTAAAATTAACTCATAAAAATAAATTGAAATTAAAAATCATAAATAAAATATTTAATAAATTAATTTAGTTAAGCATTAAATTAATAATAAAACAATTTATAAATACAAAATATATTATATTAAAATAATATTTTTATAATGGGGTTCGAACAGTAAACACCCTACAATCACTATTTAAAACCATGATGGGTAATAATTTTACTGTATGAACTTTACTCAAATTTAATTATAAAATATCTTAATCTTATTTAACTGGATCCAGTAGTTTCGAGTACCTATTTATAAGGTACTCATTTTCATCCCTAAACTATCCGTATATAAAAATAAACTTTTTATATATACAATATTTATTTTATAAGTAAATACGTGAACTAAGCTGAAAAAAATTGAAGTATTTGGATCGATTTTTCTTTGATAGAACAATTTACGATTTATATTTAGATAGATCCCTATTTAGTTCAGAAATTTTTTTTTCTACTATTTAAACATTAATAAAGATTTCATTACTTATAATTATTATTATTCAAAGATAAATAATATAATTATAATTAAATTTATGATTGAAATTTGATTATTTAAAATTAAATATAAAAATAAAAATAATTTAAACAAATATTAAAACTACCGTTACTTTTGTTTGAACAGGGAAAATATGCATTCCCATTTAGCTCACCCAATACGTCAGCTTAGTCCAACAAATCCCCTATAAATAAGCTGGCTCAACAACTTCCCATTTCATACTACAACATTACGTATCATTTGCTTCGCTTTGCGTTGTAACTTGAAGAGATCAAAGAATTAGACGTCCAACAATGACGATATTGCAAGAAGAAGAGCACCCCAACAAGGTTTTTGGATGGGCAGCCAGAGACAATTCTGGTGTTCTCTCTCCCTTCAAATTTTCCAGAAGGTTTTTATGTTCTTTCTTTGAATCTGTGTTTCTTCTTCCAATGGGTTTTTGTTTGTTTTAAACGTTCTGTTTGATTAGAATGATGTGAATTTGCAGGGCAACAGGAGAAAAGGATGTGGCTTTCAAGGTGCTTTATTGTGGAATATGTCATTCTGATCTTAATATGATCAAGAATGATTGGGGCACTTCCGTCTACCCTCTTGTCCCTGGGTATGTCTCCATTGATTCACACTACGTTTCCCACATTTCGAAAACATTTTCAATTAATCTCCCTTCACTTAGGGTCGTTTGGTAACGTTTTCGCTTTTAGGTTTTTTATTTTTTGTTTTTGAAAACTGAAAACAAAATTTTGAAAAATTCTGAAAATTATTGAAAAGAGAAAAATTGTATTCTCATTTTTTATAAACAACTTGATACTGTTACCATATCGACACTGTTTAGAAAAATTACAATTAAATCGTTACAGTGACGTTATAATTATTATATTAATAAAATAATATTTTATTATATATATTATATTAACAAATATTATTATTTTTATTGTATAAATAATATTATATTAAGAAATTATGTATTATTTTAATTAATAAATAATGTATTATATATAAATACATGATTTAACAGGAATTTGGAACATGCAATGATGCACCACGATTTATTGACGAAACTGAAAAAAATATAGATTACATTTTAACCATTCATATTGGATGCAGGCATGAGATTGTCGGTGAAGTGACAGAGGTGGGAAGTAAGGTACAAAAGTTTAAAGTTGGAGACAGAGTTGGAGTGGGGTGCCTGGTTGGATCATGCCATTCCTGCAATGACTGCACCAACAATCTTGAGAACTATTGCCCCAAACGAATACTTACCTATGGGGCAAAGTACCATGATGGAACTATTACATATGGAGGTTATTCTGACACTATGGTTGCTGATGAGCACTTTATTGTCCGCATTCCTGACAACCTGCCTCTTGATGCCGCCGGTCCTCTTCTTTGCGCTGGAATCACAGTGTATAGTCCACTGAGATATTATGGACTTGATAAGCCTGATTTGCATATAGGTGTTGTTGGACTTGGAGGCCTAGGTCATATGGCTGTGAAATTTGCCAAGGCTTTTGGGGTCAAAGTTACAGTGATCAGCACCTCTTCAAATAAGAAGAAGGAAGCTTTGGAAAATCTTGGTGCTGACTCATTCTTGCTCAGTCGAGACCAAGAACAACTTCAGGTTTAGTTTTGAAAACCCTTTTTTTCTTTCAATAATTTGTTAATGATGGAATTTATTGTCAGGGTATGATAGTTTTAAATTCAACACATATATGTTTACTGTGTTTAGGCTGCCATTGGCACACTGGATGGAATCATCGATACAGTATCTGCTCAACACGCTCTGATGCCTTTGCTTGGGTTGTTGAAGACTGATGGGAAGCTTGTTCTTGTTGGTGCTGCAGAGAAACCACTCGAGTTACCGATCTTTTCTTTGATCCTAGGTAATAATTAGAATCTATTTTTAGTATGTTTTCTAAGAGTGATGACGTGATCAGATCTTGGTAGATATCCTAAATTCGAGTAGTAATGCGATCTTTTATACTATATATCTTCAAACATATTGACATAATTTGACATTAAAACTGGCAGGGAGGAAGCTAGTTGGTGGTAGTTGCATTGGAGGGATGAAAGAGACTCAAGAGATGGTTGATTTCGCAGCTAAACACAACATAAAACCAGACATTGAAGTTATATCTATGGATTACGTGAACACTGCCATGGAACGCCTTCTCAAAGCAGATGTCAAATACCGATTTGTCATTGACGTTGGGAACACATTGAAGGCCACCTCTTAAAGCTGTCGCTCCCTCCTTTTATACAACAAATTGGCAATACCAGTCCAAATATTTTCATGTTCTAGTAATAGTTTTGGTTTGTGATCTTTCTTAACAAGATGTTGACAAGGCAGATTGCCTTGGTTTGTGATCTTTCTTTACAAGATGTTGAAAAGGCAGATTGCCTTTATGTAATAGATTGCAATTAAAATAAATAAATCATAGAATAAATTTTGTTTGAGGATATAGTTCGTTTTAAAAATGTGCATGTAACCATTACATTATCCTCCTCCTTTTCTGCATCTTCACCATTCTGTTTCTTCTCTAACCTGCTGTTGGATTTTGAGCTGCTAGCCATCAAACAAAGCCCATTTGGGTAAGCAATGGATCCTTCCAATTACACAATACATATTTATATTTTTAAACTATTCTGCCAGTTTGGAATATCTGCTGCAGGACTCCTGTAAAAGTTACTGAAGGTTAAAGATGGAAAATCCAGCTGCTTGTGATGTGGATTCTCTGGGTGGATGAATTAAGGCACAGAAGATGGCAGTTTGGGGAAAGTAGAAGGCCTGCTTTTTTTCTCCATTCTTTAGAAGGGAGCCAGAGGTGCTTTCGTTCTTGAACTGATTAAATATCATTGGCATTAAAGCCTGTTTACAACTTCTACACATGTTATTTTGGTTATTATAATCTCAAATTGTACTCTCCAAAGTTCTCCCTCTTCTCCTGACTCTTTGCTTCTTATCTTTTGTATAAACTCACTGGTGGATTAAAAAGAAACATGCTAAGAAAGTAGTGTTTTGATCACTTCCATCTCATTTCCCTTGTGGGATGTTGCTCGTATAGCTGTTGCTTCGTCTGAATAGAATTATAAAAATATTTTAAATTAAAATATTAAAAAACTTTTAATATTAATATTTTTAATTTTTTAAATAAAATTAAATAAATATACTATTTATTAATATAATAATACTTCTAGTTGTGTCAAATTAATTTTGAGTTTAAAAAATCATGTACAATATTTTACTTAAATAAAGTTATACTTAAACACATTGATAAATAATCCTTTCCTTTTGAAAATGAAAAGATAATTTAAAAAAAATCTCATTTTATGTTGATTAGTGAGTTAATTTTTGTTGATAAGTTAATTTTTAACCAAACAAAAACAAAAAAATATAAAAATTATTTTTTAAAAATAATTTTAAACGAAAGCCTAAATATAAAAGACAAGCATTTATCAAACATAGCTGGAACATTTAGGCCTCATTTGGTTTTTATTGGACCCCGTACGGTGATTTTAGGCCACATTTTTTGACCAACCTCACCATTAGTTATGTTTGGGTAACATCAGTTGTGTTGTGTTTGGGTCTGTGGACCACACAACACAGCAGTTAAGGCTGGGGCTTTAAGGGTCCAATAGACCATCTGGACCCTTTTATCCCTTTATTTATTTATTTATTTTTATACTTATCATGTCCTTAAACGGGTTTTTATTAAAAAAATTTAAATTTGTTTCTTTTTTTCTTTTTTTTTCTTCCCATCATTTATAACCATACCAAATTTTCAACCCCAAGATTTTATATAAATTAATTTTATTAATTTATCTAAGTATATTCATTTATGTTAAAGTTTATTTATGCTGAATCTAAAAGATTCATAAAAAATTACATTCTCACAACCCTCTAACCAATTCAACCCAAATTTTGTTATTTGTTATGTGTATTAATTAAAATGTAGCTACGTAAAACTCATTATGGGCAAGATAGGGACGTTTGTTTAAAGCTCGAAACAAGCCCAAGGTTAGCCCACTTAAAATATTTTAGTGAGCCTATCCTTCCTCAAGAAATACAAACAAAAAAAAAAAAAAATGCCATCAGAGTTCTCTGAATTTTAAACATGCTAAAAACTTACAATTTTAAATGAAAATATTCTTGTTCTTACCCCGAAAAATATTCTTCTATTTTATTTATTTATTTATTTTGCACATGATTGTCAGTCCCATGGCACCACATATATTTATATATTTATGTATTGGGTTCAATCAATTTTTTATTTTTAAAAATTATTCAAAGAAAATGACATTATATTCTGCCAGGTGCTATAAAAATATTATCCTAGAAAATAAAAAAAAAAAAGCTAAGGGTTATACTGAAACTTTAATTATGTAATTATGTGAAAACATTGGTTGGTTGATAATTAGGTCTACCAACTTTTGGTGTATGGTTGATTAATTTGTTATATATGTACTCAATAATAAAATAAGAGTACGGTAACAGTATAATTTTTTTATTTTATAAATAAGATTAAAAATTATTATATATATTTTTAATATATATATGTGTGTGATCTTATTAATCATATTTTTAGAGTTTAAAAACTTCATTATCCGCAAAGGAGATAATTTTTTATAAAATAATGTAATTTTAAATTTTAATAAAATATTTTTTTTATTTACATAGGAAAAAGCATATGAGTAAGTGGCCAAAGCATTTATTAAATGATGTATATATGAAAAGGGAATTTCAAATTCCAACATGAAACATCATTATTTTCGTTATGACTAGGAGAATCCATCATCAATTTTCTAACTTGACTTAAAACCTTTTTAATAAGATCTGTATTTATATCTAAGAGTATAAATAATATATTAAAATTTGTAAGTTATTTAAATTCAATTAAAATAAAATTTAAATTTAATTCGATTATTATCGAATCAAACTTGAATTTAAATAACTTAATTTATCGATTAAATCGAGTTCAAATATTTTTATATTTGATTCAAGTTGTTCAAAAATTTAATTCAATTTTTATATTATAATATATTTTAATTATTTTAATTGATAAAATATCTTGAACTCAAGTTTTAGTTTGAACATAAATAATTAAATTTTTATCGAATATATAAATAAATTTATTTTTACATATTAATTAAGCTTAATAAAGCGAGTTCAAGTGACTTAATTTCTATTTCGAGTTGAATTTTAACTAAAATAATAATTTAATCGAATTCGAATCAAATTTTAAATCTCAAATTTAAAATCAAATTCAAACTCAAATTTAATATTATATCGATTCAAATTCGATCGATTTTACTCTTATTTATATCCTTAATTACTTCTTAGCATATGGCCACCTCTTTTGTTGTGTTAAGTAAGAAATTTTACAATATTTTTTGTACAAAACTGATGCCTTTAACTCACATGCACATACTTATCCACCTTCCTTTAATTTCCCTAATTTAAAATGACTTAAACCCACATGACCATTCCCTAATTTAAAATGACTTAAATTCACAACACCGTATCTAAGGAGATGAAGTCAAGCATTAGTCCACAGCATAATTAGTATTAATTAATGACAAACAATGTTTACTTTTTTACAACATTAGTTATACGAATACAAATTATACAATTTAATGAGCATTATTCAACGGATATGATATAATTATTATTGTATTATAAAAAAGTAATAAATTAACAAAATATTAAACGAAATTCACTTAAATTTAAGAATTTTAGAGTGTTCCTTTTTAGCTTAAGACGATGATTTAGTAGTGTTCGAATAACATTTATAAATTTTTAGCCACTAATGAAAATTTCTAGATATTTTATGCTTAGGTAGGGATTGAGCTAATCTTTGTTTAGCCTTAATTTTATATAATTAAGCTTTGACGATAATCTTTCTTAATTTGGCCTAACTTTGTAGTAAAGATTTTAGTATGCCATTTTTCAGATTAAGATGATGATTTATTAGTGTTCGAGGAACGTTCCTATTTTCTTAACCACTAATGAAATTCTATAGATTTTTAAGTTTAGGCATAGATTGAATTAATCTTTGTTTGGTCTTAATTTTATATAATTAAGATTTGATAATAGTCGTTGGCCTAATTTTATAGTAAAGATTTTAGAATGTCATCTTTTGATTAAGATGATGATTTAGTAGTGTTCGACTACTGCATATTTTCTCAGCCAATAATAAAAGATTTTTAATCTTATGCATAGATTGAGTTAATCTTTGTTTGGCCTTAATTTGATATAATTAAACTTTGACAATAGTCTTTGTTAATTTGGCCTAACTTTGTAGTCATTTTCGCATGACAAATCAATCAATAATTCTAATAAGCCAACATAAACAACCCAAGACAAATAATAAAAATCTATCTTTAACATTATATTTCATGACATTGATTGTCACCTTGAAACAATGTTTCCTCCTTTTTTTAGAATATTATACGAAATTATGTCACAAAATTAATTAATCATAAAATATTACGTAAATCCTCACTGCTATATTTATAAGCAATAAACTTTAAATAAAATTAAATTATGATTATATAATTACAGATAAAGTGTTTCATTTTTTATATCATGAAATTAAAAATATATTTGTTAGCTTTTTTTTTCTTTTTTTTTTTTTTACATTGAAATGCATCCTAACAGATATGAAAATTTCACATTTGAGACTCAACAATACCTATTGGAAGGATGTGAATTTTCTTCTCTTAAAATAAAAAATAAAAAGGAAATTCCAACCGAAAACGTACTTGAAATTGAATGAAACTCGCTGCATCTTTCTTTCCACACAGCGTGTCTGGTCTGTTATCTCACGGTATAGAGTTTCGAGACGGAGCGCACTCCTTCCTTGTGCATTTTAATATAGAACACTTACCATCCGTCACCCGCAGTGACACGAAACCCGTCAGGTACAGTGATATGCTTACGTCATTTTCACCAGGTGTCAATCTTTCATAGCCTCCATTTGTTCACTCCAAAAATTGCAACCGAAAACTTACTTGAAATTGAATGAAACTCGCTCCATCTTTCTTTCCACACAGCGTGTCTGGTCTGTTGTCTCACGGTGTAGAGTTTCGAGTCCAAGGAGCGCACTCCTTCCTTTTGCATTTTAAAATAGAACACTTACCATCCGTCATTTTAAAATAGAACACTTACCATCCGTCACCCGCAGTGACACGAAACCCGTCAGTTACAGTGATATGCTTACGTCATTTTCATCAGGTGTCAATCTTTCATAGCCTCCATTTGTTCACTCCAAAAATTGCAACCGAAAACTTACTTGAAATTGAATGAAACTCGCTCCATCTTTCTTTCCACACAGCGTGTCTGGTCTATTGTCTCACGGTATAGAGTTTCGAGTCCAAGGAGCGCACTCCTTCCTTGTGCATTTTAATATAGAACACTTACCATCCGTCACCCGCAGTAACACGAAATCCGTCTGGTACACTGACATGCTTACGTCATTTTCACCAGCTGTCAATCTTTCATAGCCTCCATTTGTTCACTCAAAAAATTGCGCCAAATGAAAAACCATTTACCCCCCTCCTTTGTCTTTATAAACTATAAGGTCCCCTCCAAAAGCCGCCCGACGTCTTAGAGTTGGAAAGCGTATTTTCTTTTCACCACCACATTTTCTCTTTGGTTTTTCTATTTTTTTTCTT